AGTAAAGTTTGTAGTCAATCCGTTTTTACCTCGTACATTTACGTGAGAGCAGAATCACATTAAAACAAAACTTCAAACTTGTATGGTACTGGGTTTTCTCATGTACTCTAAGACATTTGAAAGCTTAATTAAATTATACACTGATTGTTTAGCCAAAAGGATCCAATGAGAAAGGATGATTTTTCCCTTGTTTAAAATTTATAATGAGAAACAATTCTAGTTCTGCACACTATTTGATAACAAAACAGTTTCAACAGGGCTGGTAGAAATGTCTCAGACAGTTGTGCCCAATAATTTTTCTGAGCTCTGGCCTGATGTAGCTTTTAAAAGCTTTAGGCAAATGATGCCCTAAAGGGGAATTTTCATTCTGTACAACCGGGCAGCAAATATGCAAATCAGAGGAGAGATTGGCAGAATTACATGTGCACATTCAAAACTGCACTTTGTGGTTTAGACCCTTCCCAAATCAGTGTTATGTTTCTCTGCACAGCTTTAAAATCCAAGACACAAAAATGCAACTTTTGAAAAAAAAAAACAAAAACAAACAAACAAAAAAAGGTTTTTTGCCTGCATGAAGTCTTTAATAACATTACCAAAAGGTGAAGATTAACTAAATTGTGTAGTCTGGAATGCTGATTTTGATTATTCCTAACTTCACCTACACTGATCACTGCATTAAAACGACAACAATGCTTTGCTGCTTTGAATTTTTGCAATGTCTTAGATCAGCTTTCAGCACCACGAACTCATCTGTAACAAATTATAGGGAGTTTAATTTCTGCAAGCTGATTTGGCCATTAATAATATCATGTTATGGGGTTCTTTGAGTCACAAGCTTCTAAATAAATAAAAGTTCTTTGTTCTAATTTTGTTTTACACAATTCAATTTATAAACTGATTTAAAGTGTTTTAAGGCAATGTTATTTAGGAACAAACATCAATGAATACTAATATAAAAAGAAATTTTAAAAGCTATATCCCCTCAAATTTAAAAAAAATATAAGGGAGATTTTAGCTTAAACCTTGTAAATCATGTATTTGTAAATTGAATTTGTGTTTTAAATATCATAAATTTTATAGATTTGTGAAGAATATTTCAGAATAAGCATACTAATAAAATCTCAGACATTTCATGGTTTAAGAATAGCAAGTTAAGATCCAAAAGTAATTTAGATATATAAATATTTCTAGTTTTAAATACTGTGATCTACTCTGCTTAAATGTGTAGGAGGGTCACTTTAATAGATTCTGTTATTCATAATTATTAATAATATTAAAGTTTTACTATGTGCGAATACTCTGGGATATATTACGCAAGACCTCATATGGTTTTAACAGCCCTCTTATAGACATAAATGTTATTACTCCCATTTTACAGTTGCAAGTTAACATGATAAGTTATTAACAAAATATCATACTACTTTGAAACATCAGACTGAGATTCAAAATCTGCTTAAATTGAATGAAAACATGCTTGTTTGTAGTCATTGTGCTACACTAGTGATCCTAAAATTATAATCCCAGGATGCAGAGTAGAGCAGTATAAATATGCCTCCACCCTACCAATTTTGCGTGTCTTAAGGGTCAGCTTATTGGTGTTGAATTTTGTAAGTTTTATTCCATGCACCATCAGAAATGGATGCATACACAACACTTCCGTTCCCTGCCTCAAAACATTTGTCTTTGAAGTGGCCGCTTAGCTAGTTCGGATCTTAGTTAAGCATTTAGCAGAAGTTAAATGTATTGCCAAACTTCATCAGTTGGATCTTTTTATCAGATAAGGTAGAAACGAAAGGAGCAGGCAATTTAATTAGCAGTAATTTTTCTGAGCAAGTCATTACTTTGATGAACTTCAGAGCAATGTTTATGGCCCCTAATTAACCATGTTAGTCATTTGATTGAATAATCACTTTGGAAATGCTTCTACAATTTGATTAGACTCTGACCCACTCTGATAGTCATAAATTAACTGGTATCACTCTAGGATAACATGATTTTAGTTACTTTATGGGAACAAGCCTCATAGCCATTTTTTTTCAGACTTCTCTGGACCAGATAAAGAATACCAATTTTAAGGAGAGACAGGATTTAAGCAATGCTAGCCAAGTGTCTCAATTTAAAGAGCTGGATATTAATTTTGTTTACTCTAAGGTATAGTAAAAAACACAATTATATTCTTGTCATCCCTTTAAAATTTCATTCATTGCTTTTCTTTTAAAAGGTTAGATACCATGTTAGGGCTTTGAAAATGTAATGAAAACTTTGGCATTAACCTTATCATATGTCATTAATTTATGATGAATGTTGTCAGCATAAATATTATAGATAAATAGCTAAAAGTTTATGAGAATGCTACTAAGTACAGCCATAAACAACAAATCAGCTATTTTAATAACTCTCATCTAAATTTGTGAAAGTATGTATCAGATCTTAGCTTTGATTCAAAAGTGTTTGATTCGATTTTCCAGGATTGTGCTGATTTTATATTGTACTAAAAAAAAAAAAACTTTTTATAAGGCATTCCTTGAGCTCTGGCTGGTAGAGTTTTCAGGAATGTTTGTATTTTCACTTTTTCTTTATTTTTTTCTTTTTCTTTTTCTGCACCTCTGGGAAGGAGAGACAACATTTGGTCACACATTTATGTAATAGAGTTTAGCCTGTGTGTTTTCCTCTCACTGCCTCCAGAGCCAGCCAGCTGTCTTTACAGCCATATTCCAGGTGTTCAGCAGTCAGCAAAAGTATTTTGTGGCTGGGTGTCAACATTGGTACAACAAAATGCTTGCCTCTGAGCAGCTGCTGAGTTGATGGCTGTTATTAAAATTGTCCCTTCCAAACTCAGCTGCTTTGGGCAACCTTAGACCTGGTAATAAATCAGAATAACATTAAAAATTAATTCAAAGTGTCATTGGCTAAAAAGTTGGGATAACATGGATTGCTAACTATTGGCAACCCCAAAGATCAACTGTGCTTCAACTCTTTTATACTGATAGATATGAGGAAACAGGGTTAACTTATCCTTTTTGGAATCAGAATTCCATAGTACATAATATTTTCTATGAAGAAAGTGTAACATAATACAATGTTTGATAATCAGTTTTATAGCATCTTATAGGTTATTAATTCCTTCATATCTTTAAATATTATTTAGTACTACAGATTTCCATTATTTTTGACTCAGATGACATTAAATAAATTTTCCAGGATGAAAAATCCCTCATTTTTTAAATCAATATTCATCATTAGACCAAAGTAGATGTACCATCCATTACCAGGCAAAATTAAAAACAATTACATGTGCTAAAATTAATGTAACATATCAGACCAAGGAAGAATTACCTCTAGACCAAATAAATAGAGCTAACAATCTGTTATAACAACAGCGTATGTAGATAGATAGCTATGAAGAGATAAGAGGCTTTAGATTTCAACTTGTTTAAATTTTTAAAAATTATCTGTCTAGTAGTCATATGTTCACTACAAGTGACAGGAAACAACCAATGCTTTTTGTATTAAATAGACATATTTGTCATATGTGTTTTAAGAGTTTAGTTTTTGTACATAGTGTTATGAAAACGTAAGTTATCTATACATATGGATGATATAATTAGCTTGCTTCTTATATATTTATACATTCCTATATAATTTATGCTTGTTGAATGTGAAGTTTGGCCCAGATTTGTCGGACCTAAAACATAACATCTGGAGAACTCTCTTTAAAAAAAATTAATAAATAAATAAAGCTGCCAATAGGAAGTTAGGTACAGAGCCTTAGAAGAAACTTACAAAAGCAGATGATCATGGAAGTCAAGTTTCACTGACTTCACCATGAATTTACCTGTGGTTAGGTAAGAAAACCTCCACATGCAGAATTAAGGAACTTGGGGCACAAATCTTTATTTTATAGAAATGTAGTTACAAAATGATTGGCCATAAGTTATGTATCTTAACTAGCATTAAATGAAGAACTCGAATTTTAATCTTTTGCTTGCTGTTGCATACTTATTTTCTTTTTCCCATATTTAAGCTATAAACACACTCATTACATGTAAGGTGTAAATATAGACAAAGTTTATTTTGTCAGTATGAGATACCTCGTTCATGATGGCAAGGCTTCACTGTTGGAGTGTATTAGGTTTCCACTGCTTGGTAAAATACCTGGTGCCCCTGCTGAAAAGCAAGAGAGGTTTATTTTTGAGTCACATTGAGGGTTCAATTCATAGTTATCCGCATCTATTATCTTTAGTTCTATGGCAGGGCAGAACCATCATGGCGGAAGAGCCTCAAAGAAGAAAACTGGTCACTTTGGGGTAGGCAGGAAGATAGGAGAAGACACTGATACAGTCTTTAAGGTCATAGCCCATGATCTGTTCTGTTCACCTCCTCAGTTACCATCCCTTCCCAGTGATGTCAGTGAATTAACCCACTGATGTACTTAGAGACCTCGTGATCCAATCACACTCCAAGAGTTCATTAACTTAGCAACCAGCATCTAGTATGTGGCCTTTGGGGAACATTTTAGATCCAACCTCAAACATAGGCTAATAAATCTTTGCTCCGAATTGTTATACTTGTGTTAGATTCGCCATTGGTTTTGAATATGACTTCTCTTCCTAAAAATGAAAGGTCACCCGTGCCTCTTTCTGGCGATAATATAACAACTACATTAAAAGGATTTAGCTGTTTGAATTCTTTCATAATACTTTGTCAGGTGTTCATGAAATAAACTAAGAATGAGACTTTGATGACTTTTTTATGTACATAGTATGCCATGGGATGTGTACACTGCATGATGTTTATCTCCTATGGTTCTCCTAACAGCCTTTTAAGAGATAGCAGTCATATTCCCATTGTGTGAGCTTTGCCGGAAATATTAACCACATTGACTGATTTTCCTCTTGGGGACTTATGCCAGTGCTGGAACTTTTCTAGCTATCTGTCCATTGAAAACAACACCCTTTCAGTTCCTGACCAGCTGTAACTAATCTTGTTTCCCCCTTCAGAAGTGCCTAGCTGCCACTCCATTTACATGAGGCAAGAAGGCTTCCTGACTCATCCTGGCAGAACAGAAGTTAAGTATTCTAGTTTTAAAGTTCTTTGTAAATAGTCAACCATTCCAAATAGGTGGCCACTTAGTGAATCAGACTAGACTTTGAGAACATTCATTTATATTTCCATAACCATTCTTTTAAAACTTTTAAATTTTTAAGTAAAAGGAAGGCTTTATTTCTGGTGCTGATAGCTCATATTAACATGAGTCCTGAACATAGAAATAGCTTTAAAGTGGGTCTCTGTGTTTTTTTTTCTTTTCCTTAACAACCACATTCTTTTAAGGAAGAACATGTGGTTTATAGATTAGTCCTCTTTCCTGCACTCTACTGAAATGTAGAAACTTCGACAATATTCAGTTTTGCTTTTACAGATGTAAGTCATAGTTGTCAACATTTACCTAGATATTTTTACAAGAATATAAAAAGGAACCTGCTTCAGAGCATCGGAGTAATAATGGGAGATAAACACCACTAAATCACTGATTTTTCTCTCTTCCCATTGAATAATAAAGCTAAGAAGGAACTGGACAGGGAGATGAAAAATTATAAATCTTACGTTTGCCAATATTTATGTGAGATCTGTTCTTGGTTTACTAATATAAGTAACTAATATTTACATACCACTGTGTGCTAGGAATCACGCTCGATTTTCATACATTAAATCATGTAATCGCAGAACCCTGTGAGATGGTAGATGGTGGTCATTCACATTGTGTAGATGAGGAAACTGAAACAAAGAGGGTAAATGGCGTGTCTGGGGGCCAAAAGACCAAAAAACGGCAGAATCATTTTTGAAACAATTTTTGCATTAATGGGTATATTTTAAATTGCTCATGAGCTCTGTTTGTGTCATTAATAAATGTATGCCATTCTCCCCACAGGCTGTATGTTTGAAAAGGGCCCCCGGCAGTTTTATGATGACACCTGTGTTGTTCCAGAGAAATTTGACGGTAAATGGGTTCCCTGTTTGCAGTTTTGATTTCTGTAAGAGAGAATTCTCACTTTTCCCAGTTTCAAAAATGGTCACACACCACTTAAAGATTTCTATGCACATCATTTGTCAGGTACTCCATTTGAGCTAAACATGATTTATGATAAATTCTCTCTTTTAAGAACCCTTTTTCCTCTTTGCTGTGAAAGAGTCCTTTTTTGGAGCCATAGCCAGAGAGTGTCATTCTTGCTGGGCTTTGTGCAGAGTAAGAGGGGTCTTTCCATTGCCCTGCTGAGCACATGCAGCTTGTTATTCGAGCTTTATTGAAAGCTGATCCTGTAATTAACAAAGCAGAGCAGAAAGCATGCTACTATGGATGCACTGATGACTAATGCAGCCTCCTTTCTTTTATTGTTCATGAAAAGATGCATTATGGAACACAGGAACCACATAACTGCCCATTTGGTTAGTGATTGTTAGTTCCTCTTTTTTTTTTTTTCCAAGTAAGATGTACATTACTAATGTATCATTACTTTGTAATTGCTTAAAAGGGAGTTAGGAAAGCATTGCCTTTTTTAATATCACTCACTGTTTCAAAGAAAAGGTCTCAGATCTTTAGAAAAAAAAATGAGCATCAAGTTAGATACAATCTTCTTTTCTTGACAAGGGTGGAAAAAGTCATCATCTACAAGGAAGCCTGGGTAAAAAGTGAACAGCTAATTCATTTAGTGGTTCTTCAGAGTGGTCTTCGTATTTCCTGCCTTGATTGTTAAACAGGAAGCGAGCAGGGGCCCTCTGATTAGCTGATTGCACAAACTTTGGGGATCAGGCTATAATGACTTGGGAACTCAGAGATTTTAATTGTCATTATTTAAACAGCGAAGTACACACTCAGATTGCTTTTCAGTCTCTAATTAGTTACTGAAGACTGTGTTCCCCTGCTTCTCAGTACTCTTACACTCTTGTGTTTGCAGAAAGGGTAGTGAGTCTTTAAAATTGCTAAATTTGTTCGAGGTCACAGCGTTGGAACCCCAGAGTGGATCACTTTTTTGGGCTTTCTTCTACAATTCATGTTGGTTTCTAAGGTGTGAGCTCTGCTGTTTAGCACAATTAGGATAACATTACAATTCTCAGTACAACTTTTTCTTTGGCGACAAAGCTTTCAAGCATCTACTTGTTGGAGTGACCTTCATCACTTCCTGTCATTTATGCTGTGCTGCACATTTCAAGGAATGTCATCATTAGTAGAGGCATGTAAGAGGGAGAATGTCTTAAAACTATGGGCAAGATTATATTACAGCCGGTAGGCCAAAGTCACACTGTTTAGGGAACAAGCTGTCTTGATTTTTCCTTCTCAGTCTTCCATTTTATGTTAAAAATACCTTTTTTGAGAGTGTTTTTCTTGCATTTTATAAATAAAGGAGGAAAAAGGAAAGTAAAGGGAAATTTGTTGTTGTTGTGCATGGCCCATACGATCAGTCGTATTCATAGGCAGAAACACTATAGCAACTATAAAATTTCAGGTTGTTTTACTCTATCTGTGTATTTGCTGTTACCCAATAAAAAATGTAAGTCTCCAAAAGAAAACCAAGATAAATAAAAATGGCATTGAAATCAATGTAAAGATGTTTTAAGTATTGTTTGTTCTGTAGTTACTTTAATAGATATATTTCTAACTGTTGACCAAACGAAAATTTTAGAAAGCATATTAATATGGTAAATTTTATAATTCATACTTAGTATGAATAGATTCTGTGGAATATATTCTCACTGAATTGCTTATTTAGTAGAGAAAAAAACCGTTATACATTAACAATGATGTACTGTACTTATATGAACCTAGATATCCAATCCCCAATGTGGCTAAATCCACATTTCTTTAGATGTTTGGTCATGACAAGAGTATTATTTTGTGTTTTGTTTTGCAAAGGATAGAAAACTAACCAGATTTATATGAGAAATGTAATCCTAACACTTTCATTGCTTCTTAACACATTTTTATACTATATATGTGTCAAATAAATATAACGTAAGGAAATCATTCCTGCTTGAGAACACAGATTTACTAAAAGCTGTGGTGTATTTTTAAATTGGATTCTTAGAAAAAGATTAGCAAGCTTAATTCAATTGAGTGAAATACATACAAAATATAAAGAAAAAACAAGTGAAAATTCTTGTTTGTTGCCAGGTGAAAAAGTAATATCTGTTAGGGAAAGTCTAAAAAGATATGGAAGGAAGACCTGAGGTCAGAAATCCAGTATAACCTGAATTACCCAAGAGACTTTCAAAATTATTATAAAGTATGGGTTATTTAACTCAGAGTTTATGATACTATTAAATTTGCTTTGAAATATGTGCAACAAAATTTCAATAGTTGTTCATGTGCACATCAATAAAGTATTTGCAAATTATAGTTTGCAGAATTTAATTTGTATAAATAAAATGCCCAGAGCTTAAAATTGATTTCCTCCTATTCACTGTTGCTTAAGGAGTGAGTAATGACATTAACAATAAACAAAGACATATGATTAGACAGCATGTTTTTAAGTACATGATGAGAAAAGAGTTACTGTAGATAAAAAATGTTATAAGTCAATGACATTTATGGATTTATTCTACACAAGCGTGCAGAGGTAGACTTGTCTTTAACCATTTCAATGACTAAGTTAATGAGAAGTTTTATGTAAATGACTTGATATCACTGCTAATAGATACTTTCACATTTTTTTTTTTTTAATTTAGGGGACATTAAACAAGAGCCAGGAATGTACCGGGAAGGACCCACGTACCAGAGGCGAGGATCTCTTCAGCTTTGGCAGTTTTTGGTAGCTCTTCTGGACGATCCGTCAAATTCTCATTTTATCGCCTGGACTGGTCGAGGCATGGAATTTAAACTGATTGAACCTGAAGAGGTTGGTTCAGTAGATTTTAGTTAGGAAAATTAAATATACTAGAATGTAATCAAACTGGTATGGTTGATTCATATGCCAAAAGGTAACTTTAAAAAATTTAAAAACCTTGCAGAAACTTTCTGACAATGGGCTGCAAAAAAATCTCTAAAATTATTAATTTATCACATGGTGTTTCCCATTGAATATCATCTTATAAAATTGATGTTGAAGACGATCAGTCATAAGCCTAGAAGTGCATATTCAGAAAAATCTCTTAAGGAGCATCTAACTTGGAGGAGGCAGGAGTTTTATGGTTCTTAAGGGGGAGGGCAGAGGTCTGCCCAAGTCCAATTAGTTTAGAGGCGGAGGAATTTTTCTTTTGAATTAGCAGTCATTATTTGGATAACCTGGATTTTATCAAACGGATAGGAGAGAAACATTTGAAGACCAAAATTATGTGCAAGAGGGGTGAAGTAAAGAACAGCTGTTAGGAGGATGAAGATATGTAAGGGCCACAGTGGAAAATTTGCAGACCTTGTGTCTTAACAAGACACAGGCCTGATAGAGACACTCTTCTGAGTGTTAGCGACATCTGTTTCAAGTCAGCCAGACTGCAAACACTCCACTGGAAGACAGCACTGTAGTTTAAAATGTTGCCATTGTTCAGAAGAAATTACCAAAATGAAAGAATCTGCATAGAGATAACGTGTATATGTGGAACACACTTTCCGCTAACCCCTCAAATGTCCCCTCATCTCACCCTGCAGTGCACACAAATGGAGTATTTCCATAGGAGATTTCTCAGTTAAATATTTATTGTCCACAGAATGAAATTGTTTAAGGCTGCTTCTGTTATTGGAGCATAACCTATCAATAGCGTTTTGAACCTCTATGTAAAAGTGACTGTTACATGAAATTTTTGTGGCATTTTAAAGATCCTTTCTCTGCTTAAAATTGACTAACATGCTTAGGACTGACTATACTGCAGGCTATTGAACCTGACCATCTCATCGATGTTAAAAAAAATTCAATAAGGCTGAAGTATTTCTGAACTCAAAGCGATTATTTTCATATTTACTGGAGATCTAGAGCCTAGGCTACTGGGTCTTTACATCTGATTTTTTTCTTTTATTAAAGTATTCAGCATAATCAGGTAATAAGCTCTAATTTGATGTTCACAAGACAAAGCCACATAAATTAGTGAATTCTTTCTGTTTCAAAAAGATATTAGAAGAAGCATGAAATAAGCAGTGTAGTTAGAGCAATTAAGCTTCCTCCATTTTATCAATACTCTGATTGCACTAAACGGTTGGCTTTACAGTATCTCTCTTGCCTCACGTCAAACACACAAACACACACAGACATACCTCCCAGAGCTTTGTATCAGAAACTGGAAATGCCTCTTGGTTAGTATGAGGTAAATATTTAGGTGTTTAATTGTGTATAGTGTGTATAAAAAAGAATTTGGTTAACGAAGAACATTGGTTTTCTTGTTCTTTAATAAACGTGCTTAAATGATGGTGAAAGAATCACAAACACATGAAACATTAACAAATTAAAACTAGAAATACTTAACAGCAACTTGAAATCCCTGTACCATCATGGGAATGTCTGCTTTCCCCTTCGATGTTAATAATCCTGCACGACTTGATTCATGCTGGAACTGACCATATTCAACAGGGATTTGTATCAGTTAAACAGTTATTTCCCTCCACCTGTGATTAAAATAAACAAAGCAGAAATGTAATGTTTTATTCCTGACATGTATTTGTTAAGATAAGAGACATTACTGAATTATGTCAGTGCTTCTTGATCCACTAGGAAGAATAAAATTTCTGCAAGTGATTAAGTTCTTATATACAGTAACTATAGACTTTTTGGATGATCAAGTTTAAATAAGTAGATTTAACCAGATGACCATCAAGATTCATCAGATTCTAAGTTTCTGTCACTTTTCAATGCAGGGAAGAAATACAGTTACATCTGTTCCCCACAACAAACTGACATTTTGACAGCTAGTGTGCAGCAGACTCATGAAATAAAAAGAGAGAGGATAATTTAGAGCCGGTAGACCATTTCCACATGGTAACTAAGTCAGTGGGAATGGTGCAATAAGCACCAAATGTCTCTGAAGGCTTTTGTTCGAAATGAAACATCCCATATTTTATTGCTGCATCACTCACTGTTGCAATTGCTTTCATCAGGCAATGATTGTGATGTCTTATTAAAACTTCTTATTTGGAAAAGGTTTGTGCAATTTCTTTCACCTGTGTGGCCCAAGCTCCCTCTATATATCAGCTCTTTCAGTAGATAGCACAACCCGTGAAGGATGTCCCCGAAGCCTGAGGAGTTCCATTTCTTCCAAGTTCATCTTGAGGTTTAAAATTGTGTTTTCAGCTATGGGCAGATTCTCGGCTGCTTGTGTGTGAATAATGATGGCAAATACATAATCTTTAACATCTCTCTTTTGGAGATCTCTGAGATAAGGGCATAATTATTTTTGAGTTAAGAACATTAAGAATTTCTTTCAGGGACAACTGTTAATATAGTTGGGCATCTATACAACGTGGTGTCAAAGTCTTCTGATGATATTCAGGTTTGTTGAGCACCGGAAAGGTTTTGTATTTTTCGGGTTCACTGTTAATTAAAGCAAGTATACTGTTTAAAAATAAGAAACATGAAACTTCAGCTATCACAATGTCCTATTTAATTCTGCAGACAGTGAGGCCAAATGCCATTGTGTTAGCGTCTTTTTGACTTTGCTTGCTAAAGCCAAAGTTTTCATTTGAAGGACTGTTATAAGGATCTCATGTACTTCATGTTAAAAATATGCCTTTTCGGGGCATGCAGCCATGTCACTGATTGTACCTTCTTAGCTGATGGGTGGGTGGTCTACCAGACCCGAGAATTATTCCTCTTCCCTGTCAACTGTAAAGTTCTTTTCTGTCTGTATCTCCTAATCCTGTTGCTTTCTCATTTCTTTCAACTTTGTAAGGAAGCATGTGCAAGAACTCATTTTTTATAATATAGACTACTAACCCCAGTGCTGAGAATTAACTGGCATCATAACAATCAAACTCTATAAACCGACCACTTTTTTCATAGCATTTAAAAAATCATACTTCTCTCCTTAGAGACATCCGCAGTGTTATCTTAACTTTATTTTCTAGGTGAATCCTGCTGAGTTTCTAGAAAAGAATCATTTATAGATGAAAAAGTATTCAGGTGATTGTTTAATCTGAAGTGACATTAATAATTTATAGTCACATCCCCTCAAGGTCTACATGCTGTTCAGCTGCATGTCTATTAAACATTACTTGAATGCCCATTGTTAAGTTTTTGAACAATATTTTATTTAGAAAATACTTTAATTCCTTACTGCCGTCTTTCCCCTGTCTCATTTCCCAATTGCTTAGGATATTTATCTTAAACTCAAGTTTATTTTGGGGAAATTAATGTGTATACACCACTATGATTGTTGGTTTGGATGTAGTCTTGTCCCTGTTACATCATGTCTCTCTAGCTCTTAAAAGAAACTTTAATGACTGATGCATGCGGCTAAAGCAAGTTGTATTTCACTTAGAGATTGCAAATTACAAAGAAAATAGCAAGGACACACATTTTAAAAAATAATGCAAAATAAAACAAATCCTGAAGTCAGGTTATTGCTAATAAAATAAGAGCCAGAATGTTCTCTTTGAAGAGCTATTTTAGTATATGTGACAAAAACGTATACCAAATTATAACTTAGTATATAGTTAGAACTATACTTAAATTCTAAGCAAAAACTTAGAATTTCAAGGAAATGAAAGAACACACAAACCCTATTAGGTAATGCTTTCCTAGGGTTACCTAGTTTTGCGTGACAATTGCATTTGGTTTTTTTTGCTCAGAATAATGAAAGTGGAAGTTAATGGGAACATGGCTTTAGCTGGGGGAGCAGAAGCCACCTGCACTATCTTTGACAATTCCTCAAGTAGTCCTACCAGGCGGTGAGGGAGAGGGAGGTGTGTTTTTAAATCTCTATTGATGAGCTCTGCTTTTGTCTGAAATGTTGCTCCACCAAAGCCACATAGTCAAAACCTCTGAGTTTTTACTAAACAACAAAGTGGACATTCTGCTTTAGAGATTTTTGTTTGTCGACTCATATACATGCTGACCTTTTCTACTTCCTTCTTATTTTTAGCATCCAATTACTGTTCTCCAAATAAATGCTTAATTCTCCAGTTTGATATTGGCTACAATTTTATTCTGACACCGCTCCGGGCAATACAAATTATTTGCAGCTCAGTTTATTAATTTGTATACTGTGTTCTCTGCTACTCCCACTCCAATGCCACTTGTTTATTCTTTGTCATAGTAACTGAAGGGTCTCTTCTTTGGTTTATCAAAATAAACCACCTTTATAAAGCATATTAAGCTTCTTTCAATCTACAGTTTTGCCCAAAACACTGAGAAGGAAAAAAAAAAAAAAACAGGTAATGTATCCCCAGTTGGAAAACTTGCCTCATTTTGGTGAACTGAAGTCTTTTTATTCTTGCTGTAAACACATTCCCTTATTTCCATTTAATTTTATACCCCAAACAATAGTGACAAAGAATTCTATTGTGATGTTTCAGAATGATCACTGCACGCCTGGTTTAAAAAGCAAACCAGGACACAGGAAATGCAGATCACGATAGCTTTTGTAAGTTTGCTTATGTCTTTGATTTGGACATGTTTTTATGGGCTGTGAAGTAATTATTCAATTAACCATTTTCTTCTGAAATATGCTAAGTTAATACTTAACCCTATAATGTAATTCTCTTTTGGTGGCAGGTGGCTCGGCGTTGGGGCATTCAGAAAAACAGGCCAGCGATGAACTATGATAAACTTAGCCGTTCACTCCGCTACTACTATGAGAAAGGAATCATGCAAAAGGTGAGCAACTAATACAGCATTAAAATTCATTGAAATGTTGCACATTAATCTGCACGTCATACTTTAAAAGCCACATATTATTGCATTGCTGAAGCAAGGTTTTCCTTCATTTTAACAAATGCTTAGCTCTTGATTTTTGTATTGCAAACCTTTCTATTTACCAATTCATGAACACTGTAGACAAATTTGTAATAATATTATATGCAAAGTAGTAGGCTTCCTGGAAGTTTCTACTTTGGTGTACATGTTTTTTAAATAAGGATTGCTTCAGTATTGATATTGCCTGTATATATCTCCAGAAGCTGTTATTCTGTGCATTCTTTCCAAATATATATATATATATATATATATATATATATATATACTTTTGTATATCTATTTCAGTAAAAATAAAGAACGTTAGACTAATTTAATTCTTTTATTTCTCATGTTCTGATTCTATAAAGATGAGGATATTTTTTTTTCCTCATTAGGAAAAACACATATTCTTTGCCGAATACCTTTGACTGATTTCATTCTCTGACAGTTTAATATTGCAAGACATTTATTTAAAATAAGCATTTTATCTTATTGGGTTGGTAGAACAAAGGTCAATATATTTTATTTCAAATCAGTTCCTTTAATATTTGGAAGTAGATTTTTTTTAAAAAAAGATTCAAGATAAAATAAATAAGTTATAATAAAATACAACATTTTGAAGTAACTAATGAGCAAATAAAGATGGAATATTTAGATGTCTGTTATGTTCTTCAGCTTGCATGTGTTTCCATTTTAATTACCTTGACTTTTATGATTTATCTGTTGTGGACATTATAGTTATTATGTATCCTTTGTATGTTTTTGGGGTGCAAATCTAATTACATATCATAGATCCTAGTTTATTTTTATGTCATCATTGTGGTGCCAAGAAAAAAAATGAATCCATTTGCTACATGAAACTTAACAGGAAGAATTAGCATACATTTCTAGATCACATGGAATCAGTGCTGAAATCTTCTGGTTTAGAATTTAGCGCTTTTGAAGTCCTCAAAAGCAAGGCTGAACTAGGTTTTTCTCCCCCACTCCTGGACCTCACCTTCAACACACGTGGCTCTGAGCCATCCGCTCCCTCTGTCTTCTCCATCTCAGCCCTGGAATCGTTTTTCTCTGCTCCCTTCTTTTCCCACCACACTATTTATAGCTGAATCCTTTCAAATACTTGCTGTTCTTTTCTTTCTCTTATCTTCCTTCTGTGCAGGGCTCCTCCCCAGACCTTCCCTGTAGCTGTTCAGTGCTTTCCCTGGGCCACATTGCGTGGCAGTGGCAGTGTTGTCTTGAGTTTGGTTTCATTGCTGGCTTCTCACCACATCTGGCCTCTCACCAGAGTCCCTTCTTACTAAATGGTGATCCATTTACCTTATTGAAGATGCTGTGACAGACAATCAAGTGAAATCATGTATCTGAGATGTTTTGTACGTTAGGGGCCTGATGAAAGTCTCAAATAAATGGTGGCTCTCAGTGCAGCTCACATGCTGAAGTCAGTGTCAGCTGTGGTATATGCGACTTGTGTGTCTTGAGCATTAGGCTCCTTACTAAAAGGACCATTTGCAGAGATTTAAAATTATTACAATATCCTCAGTTACACATTAGCTTTCAGGAAATACTTGTACTTATCAGCCTTGCATTACTATAACAAATACCTGGGATTAACCAATTTATATAAAGAAAAGGTTTACTTTAGGTCACAGTTTTGCAGGATCAGTTGCTCTGCTATTTTGGTTTTTTAGTCAGGCAACAACAGCAGACTCTTCTCAGGGACAAGGAGTGATAGAAAAATTGGAGAGGTTGGCTCCGCTCTCTCCTTTGAGGGCATGCACTCAGAAATGGAAGGACATTTTCTAGATTCCACCTCTTAAAATTACCACCCCATCCCAATTCTACCATGCTGGGACCAAGATTTTACCACATGGCTCTTTTGGGGACGCCCAAACTAGCATAGTTGAAAAGGCTGTCCAGGATAGCTGGTGTTAAATTTTCTGAAATGTTCTCAGACTTACCACACACATCTCCAGTGTTACTTTTCCTTTTATTTACTGTCTCATCCCTTACCTCATTTATACATTCTCTTATTTTAATAAATTTATAAGGCAGAAGCCTGTCAAATGGTGACATAGATCTTGGAAAACAGTTAAAAATGTTGTCCCTCCTCATATTCGTCCCTATTAGACTGTAGCTGCCAAAGAAAACTATTTATGATTTATTTGTCAGTTAATGCAGGGAAGTAAAATGCTGTATATAACAGACCCAAAGGATGTCACTGTGTGATGTAGCAAAGGACACACTATTTAACGGCAGTCTGCCTTCAGCTAGTACACAGCCAGGCCCCTGATGATGCTAATGGCCATCTTTAGCCTCCTTCACACACAGAGCTCGCCTTGCTGCCTCTGGACATATCCATGACTCCCCCAGGGCATCTTCTGCATTCTTTCTAGAATGTTCTGTACTTTTCATCCTAACTTCTAACATCTGCATCCTTCTCCTGATTAAGTAAATTGTAAGATAGTAATTCAGAGAAATACTGCCATCCTTCTTATTTAAAAAATTATGTGTGGGATTACACATTTCAATGTGTAGGGGAAATATTGATGTGGCCACTTTTATTCACTGACTGAAACATAGACTTATGTGACATTCGTAAAAAGCAGTGAAAAGACTAGCAAATAAAAGGAACTACTTTTAAGTATGCAAAAAATTAAGATAATTAATTTCAGTGATTATGAAAGAAATAAATAGTGGAGCAATATTTATTGTACCTTATAAGAAACAGATGTGTATTTCTATCTTGAAAAAAAATGCCCCCAAAATACATACTATATTTTGACAGTAGTTGTTTTCTGGGTGACTTAATTATACAGCATTATTTCTTTTTGCTTAATCTGTCATTTCTAATTCGGTAACCAATATCCTGAATTACTTTTGAAATTTATAAATTAAAGCATAATGGAAACATCTATCTTTGATAATATATTTTATGAGGTATCTCATTGCTTACTTCTGATTCCTATTTTTTCTATCTCTGTGTGGCAATTTGGGCATTCTTAATGTAAAACAGTGTACTAATTACATTATTAATAATGAAAGACATCATTTTCATTTTTGGATGCCAGCTCTTATTCTAAGCTCAGTTACATTTAACACAATCCAATAGATGTAGTGGTAACCCTTAAAAGTTAACTTAAAAAATTAAAAAACCAACCAAAATGTTAATTCAGAAAGAAACTAGGAAGAACCAATGAGTATGGGCGAGTCCTTAAGATATTTTATAATTTTGAGAGTAAGGTATATATTTAAATCCCCCATGGTTAAAAGTCTTCAGTTACCACATCACTTCTAATTATAGCCAGTATCAACATGTCAGACAAAAAATGTTCCAGTAACTACAACAAATATCTCTTTCTCTATGGTTCCAAAATAAAACAGGTTATAGATCTCTCAGAGGAAGGTAGGCCATTTATTTTATTGTGATTCTGAAAAATACTTTGAATGACAAAAAAATATAAAGGGCACTAAGATTTATTATTTCAGCTTGTTTCTGATTTTGCCTATTTTTATTTTTGAGGTCATTTTACCAGTTCAACTTAAGAAATTAATTTCCATTTTCTGAGCCACAAAGTAAATGAATTATGCCAAGCTCCTCTCTGCTTTTCCTGAAGCATTTTTTCAGTGTCACCACTAGCTTCCCACAGAGCCATTTACAAGACCAGGAGCCAAGCAGCAACTTAGGAGATATATCTAAAATCATAAACACTACTGAGAGCGCATTCATGTTTAGGAGCATTCCGATTATTTGGATTTGCTGTGGTCCTCTTATTTAAATCAGAGCCAAAAATGTCATAAATGTGTATCCAGCAGAACAAGGTTCCTTGGCATTTGTTTGTTTTCCCCTAAACATAAAATGTGACTTTTCAACCACCGTCACAGGAACTGTTCCCCACATCACAAAGCAGTCTTGCCTTTGACACACAGGAACATGCAAACGCTGAGTAATATTCAGCTATCTGAAATTATAAAGTACACATGCTTGTGCACACACACACACACACAAACACACACAGACACACACACACACACACACACACAGTCACTGCCTAAGTTAGTACAAAGAGCTGTGTTTGCTCACCATCCTCTTGGGTTTTGAGCACTCCAGTGTTTTCTGTTAATGGGAAGTGTATTAACATATTTGTCTCATTCTGTTGTTTATAATTTTCTACAAAAGCATCTTTCTTGAGACTTTAAGTTTAGGTTATGCCATTCCTTATAGATTATACTGTGTCAACTTTATGTTAGACCGAGTTGACATATTTCTTTTTCTCATTTCCTGTCCATGCATTGCATTTTTTTTAAATTCTTTTCACCTTTTTTACACCTCAGTTTGACACTTTGTACACGTCCTTAAGTTCTGTTTAATGTATCTTGCCTTCAGTTTTAAAAGTGATGTGCCCGGGATAATGCCATCTTCTTGGTCCATCTTTCATTTAAATAAGGCCATCTATCTTTGGCTTTTTAGATGAGACTACATAGTGCTAAAGAAATAAATAAATAGGAAGAAGAATGTGCACCTTGAGCATCAGTGAATCACTAGTCTAGTCTTATTAAGAATAAAGCATACTTTTCCTGAAAGTTGAGGTTTTATACCCAGTCAGAAATACAGTATCAAGAGGCAGACACTAATCCTTAGAGGTGCAGGTTTTTATAGGAATAACAATTACCCTAAAAAGATAAATTTCAATATGAAATGTCTACATTAAATATTTTACTTTTTTTTAAAAAAAACTACAGTGCAAAGTTTATTTTTATGTTAAAATAAATAAACTGCTGAGTTTCCAGCTGTATCCGGAATGAAATACCTATTACCTTTATGGAAGGTCGATATTTTTTATTTGCCTTGCTGGGACCCTCATTTATTTTCCCCAAGGCTACTTACTGTGTTTGTATCTATTGCTAACTGGTTGATTTCTTATTTTGTCATACATCCTTTCTGGCATACTAAGTCATGCTCTTTTCTTTCTTTCTTTTTTTTTTTTTTTTTTTTTTCTTTTTCCCCCTTTTAATCCCTTCCCACCTGGGGGTGGTGAGGATGTGTTTTTCTCTTTCATGTTGTCTTCAGGTGGCTGGAGAGAGATACGTCTACAAATTTGTGTGTGACCCGGAAGCACTGTTCTCCATGGCCTTTCCGGATAATCAGCGCCCGCTGCTGAAGACAGACATGGAACGTCACATCAACGAGGAGGACACGGTGCCTCTGTCTCACTTTGATGAGAGCATGGCCTATATGCCGGAAGGGGGCTGCTGCAACCCTCACCCCTACAACGAAGGCTATGTGTACTGACACGAGTGACTGTCACGAAGGGCGTCCTTGCGCTTTTCTTTCTGCAAGATGCGGAGAACCGCTGAGTTCTCTTCAATCTTTTTTTATTTTTGTTGTTTGTATTTTATTTTTAAATAATAATACAAAAAGGGGCTTTTCCTGTTGCATTATTCTATGGTCTGCCATGGATTGCGCACTTTATTTGAGGGTGGGTGGGAGTAATCTAAACATTTATTCTATGTAACAGGAAGACAATGGGTGAATGGGCAGAGGGATCTGGGGATTACTTTTTACTTAGGCTTGGGATAGGGTCCTACAGGTTTTAGGTATGATGAAGTTATATCATGTCTGTTTGATTTCATAATAACAAGATAATCTTCATTTTTCTCTGGGTAACTAGGGTACAGTTGATTTCACATTGTGTAAATATCCATTTGGAGACTGTTTGCCTAGGGCATTTCCCCCCATCACTTCTGAGTCTCTGCAGGCATACAAAAAAAAAAAATCTACTGTAAATGGCAGTTTAATTTTTAGAAAGGACTGTTTTTGCACCTCTTGTAAAAAGGTATTTAGCAATTGATTACGTTTGCCATTGTTTTGTTTTGCTTTACACATGACTCACAGAGGATGAGCGTAAAACTGGGCGACTCTCTCTGAAGCTGAGTAATTATCTTGACTGTAAATGAGGGGCACAATTTTGGACTCTGGCTCGGAACTGAGTCACAGGCCAGTAGCGATACAAGTATCTGGTGCCACCTTGCTGTTTAGATAAAAATCATACTGTCTTTTAAATATTTTGAAACCCATTTTAGTTAAATAATGATGTTATGGTTCTTTGGAATCTTCGTTTAAGTGTTAAATTTGGGATCACAATGAAGCAAAAAATATCTGTCTTTCACTTCCTTCAGTACATAAACACATTATTTAATCAATAAGAATTAACTGTACTAAATCACATATTATGCTGTTCTAGTTACAGCAAGCACTCTTTAAGAGAAATATCCACTACATTAAATAGGTACTATAGTAATTTTTAGACATGGTACCCGTTGATATGCATTTAAACGTTTTACTGCTGTGTTATGTTGATAACATATATAAATATTAGATAATGCTAATGCTTCTGCTGCTGTCTTTTCTGTAATATTCTCTTTCATGCTGAATTTACTATGACCATTTATAAGCAATGCAGTTAACTACAGATAGCATTTCAGGACAAAATAGATGACTCAAACCATTTATTGCTTAAAAAATAGCTTACGCCATGCTATGCTATAAGCAGCTTTTATGCACATTGACAAATGAAGAGTAAGCTTCAGCTTGCTAAGGGAAACTGTGGAAACTTTTGCAACTTTTGGTGAAATGGAAAATGACTTACAAACTGTCAAAGAATATGAAGAAGTTGCTGTATGACATAGTGCTGGCACTGATATTATCCATCATCTCGTTTGGACACTCCTGTAAATGTGACCAGATTCTTTGAGAGAAGACTTAAAAATTTCAAGTTTCAAAGATATTTTGTTTTGTTTTGTTTTGTTTTACATTTGGAGGAAGTATAGAAAGCAGTATATATTCCATCCACTCTGAAAAAATAACCTAAATAGAGTTACAGTATCACTGAATGGCTTGTGAAAAGATTCAAGAAAGTAATGCGAATTTTTTCAACCCATTAATATACTAGAGGAATGAAAGTCTTTAACTAAACGTTAAAAATTTATACACAAAGCCAAAACAAACCTATGAAAGCATTTTATGATGATCACAGAAAGGACTCTTTAAAAACTATCCCCAGCTACCCATTTTGCAACACAGCAATTTCTCTAATTTGAACAGTTATTGAGCAAACCGTATACTAAAATCAATGTTATTCACATTAACTCCTTCAATAGCTTTCTAATTTCAACATGTGTATGTAACCTGTGATTTCAATGATTATTCGATGTTCACGTCATATATTATTTGGCCCTTTATGGACCAATAAATTATGCCTTAAAAATCAGACCCCCCCAATATGCTCATGTGGCCATTTCCAGCACTTAGAATAAAAACAGATTTTAAAGTATTCAGTGAAATTTTATTGCAAAGTGAACTGAGATGTACGATTGAGATATTTGGTGAAATTGAAGGAGAACTTTTAAGTGGGTTTTTAAAATATGTTCTAAATAAAAATCATTAAGGATTCTTTATTTTTTCTTTTATTTCATTTTAGTACTCTAGTTCTAGTCAGTGAGGAAGAATTGGGTCATGAGTTAGATTAAAGTATCAAAGAAATTAATGGTATTAATTATATGATATTTAAGGACAAACTATGTAGACTGCTGTTTAAGGTAGTGACTCACTGAGCTAAATGAAGGAATTGACCAAGTTTAAATATATTTCCAATTATATATTGAAGGGTTCAAAATACTGCATTATAAACTCTTTTGGGAAATGTACCTAATTTTTTTTTTAAGTTCTATTTTATTCTACTTTTGTTTGGTTGTGTTTTTATGTTTTTTATTTCCAGGTAGATTAATAAATCTGGCAGCTGATTTCTGCAAGATTTCGTGTTTTGAATTTCTGATTGAATTTGCTATTTAAACATTGAAATTAATTCGTGAAACTTGTCTTTTTTTAATAGGTAAAAAAAAACTGATAGAAACATCTCCATTAGTGTATGCTTGTCTCTTGTTGATGACATATTAACATCAAATAGATTAATTACAGCAAAGAATGTGATTTCCAAATAACTAATGAAAGGTCACTTTTTCTGAGTTATGTCTATTAAAAACACTTCAAAATAAAAATCCACAAAACTGACAGTGCAGAGCATTTTTCTTGGATCATGGAGGATCCTAGAGATCTAATTTCCTCTAGATAGTGAAACAGATTACCACTCTAGTAAGGACACACACAGATCCTCTTATTGCTCTGAAGATCAGAAGTCCAAAATGAACCTTAAGGGTTCAAACTAAGATGCCCATGGCACTGGTTCCCATTGGAGGATCCGAGGGGTTCCGTGCTATTTCTACACCCCACAACTCCTCACTCTTCCCAGTCAGACCCCTTCTCAGTGGTAGTTAAAGCTCCTTCTGCCATTTCATAATAATATTTGTGAGTATATTTATGTTTTACCCAGATAACCCAGAATAATCTCCACATCTCAAGAGTCTTTCAATCCCACATGACACGTTACTCGGTTAGACAAACTGTTCACAGATTCCTGGGATTGGAACTGGAATAAAGCTTGTGGACTGGGAGAAGGAACTGTTTTAGCCCTCCACACACTCCAAGATGCCATGTAACGAAAGTGCTAATCAGTTTACTCACTGACCAAAGTTGTGTTCAGGAACTAAAATCAGAATTTACTAAGGAACGTTTTTATTTACCATTGAGATAATCTCTCTTTATTCTATATCAATACTTCTGCAAGCTTGGTACATTCCTGTTCATCTACTTCATTAAATCATTTTGTTATCACACTATGTTTTGCAATATTTAAGTCCTCTTTGCCCCAAAGTAAGTACTGTGTAATTAGAGGAAAAAACAAGGTGTGATAAGAATAGTAACACCACAATCAAATGTGTTATTCAATCCAGATTATATTTTAAAAATATTTTTGGTGTTAATATGATTTATTACTCTATGATCTTGACATGTGTGATTATTTATCGGATAAAAACAATATGTAGAGTATTTCTTTTGTTAATTAAAGGAACAATTCAAAAAGGGAGCTGACATTGTTGCATGACCAGAAAAGCAGTTTACTGCCTGATATTACAGCATTTGGACAGATGATAGAAAATACTAAAATGAACCTCTTCATTATTGCACAAACTTGTTCAGAATTTATAATGCCAAAACCTTAGAGGAAAAGAAGGTGATTTGAATGGCTATTACTTGAAGCTTAAAGGAAAAACATTTAAAATAAACACTGAGAAACTATTTTCCAGTTGCAGTTTGATATAAATGGGGAAAAGAGTCCTTAAAAACAAATTGGATAAAAAATTACAAAAATATTGAAGAATGCAAAAATATGTATTGGGCAGTTGTGATATGACAGCAGAAAGGCCAAGAATCAAAAAGACATTCGTGCTGGAAAAGACACTAAAAGTTGAACCATTGAGGCTATGGAAATATAGGACCATTGAGGACTTACTCCAAGAGAACTCAACTGGGCCTTTAATTGATTTTTCTTTTTTATTAATGAGAATTAGAAAGACATCTTAAAAACAATCTATAAAGAAGTATAGTTTAAAAGAATTTGATGAGACTAGTGGATGCCTTTATAGAAATACTGAGGATTTTAGAATGTTCAATTAAAAATGTACATAAGATAATTATGGTTTATGAATTCATATGGAAGGAAGATTTCTTTTCTGCATATACACTCCAATATTCTTATTTGGTTTCTTTCTAAAATTATATTTTTGTTTTTATAGGGAAGAAATTTTTAATTCACTTGATTGTATTTAAACTATACTTATGGTTTGAGAAACATGCAATGAAATTCATGTGATTATAGCACATTAAATATGCTCAAACTTTAAACCTAAAATAAAATCCCAGAAATTGAAAAATTTGGACTGTCGTGATCACTGAATGATGATGACACATTTAAGACTGATAAATATCATTTAAATTTTTGACTGCTTTCTGAATCATTCTTATAATTTCTGACCAAAACACTTCAGTAAGTTCTTTGTAATCCTTCTATTATTTCTTGTCTCATTCACTTTCCAAATAATTTAAGTACCAGACAGTTTGTTTCATTTGTTTTGTTTTGTTTCCAGTATCTTATGCCACTTAATTGCTTCAATAAATGCATAAATAAGAAATTTGGGGAAGAGAAAAGAACTATTTAAATTATTTTGGTGGCTTCAGTATGCCAAACAGCATGGATGCGAGGACATGTTTTTCCTCCAACATTTCCTGGCTTTTGTCTAACAGCTAAGACTAGTGACAAAACCAAAAAAAAAAAAAAAAAAAAAAAAAAAGGCTTGTGTCAGGATGCCACGTGATCACAGGCAGATTCATAACTTGCACCTCACTATTATCCTGATTTAGCTTACAATGACAGAGATGTCTACTACAATGACTCAAATTTTGGTGTAATACATTGTTGTTTTTTTATTACTATTTTTGAACATTCCCTATGGAAAAATCTCTAAAGGAAACCTAGCACTATTTAAAAAACAGCAAAAACAAATCATAAATTTAAAAAAAAACTTAAGCATTTATAAATGATTGAAGTACTTTGCTTTTAACCAGTGGAGAGGGATGCAGCATAATGATCCCAAAAGAAAAAAATGCACTCATCTTAGTCTTCAGAAAACTGTCCACATCGTTTCCTATGATTTACATACTAAGGCTTCTTAGTAAGAGTTCTTTGAAGAATTAGGTTTGCATATGATTCAAAGTCACATGACTCAGAAGAAACCAAATGTGGCTTTTAATGTAGAAAATAGAACTGAAATCATAGGGACTTATAAAGATATCTGTTTTATGTCATATTTCTGCAAAGGTGATTATGACATTCTCATGTGCATTTTAATGTTCCAAATACCTAGTAAAAGTATTTGTTCTGCAGAAAGTTTAAAATGTGACCTTAAGTGGCAGACTTGGTGGAAAGAAAATATGATGCATATGACATTACTTTTTTAAAGTGCAAAATGCTATGCCATTTTAAATGAACCATAGAAATTTATTTTATTATTAAAGATAGTTTTAACTTCTTTAAAAATTCATTCTTTAAAAAATGTAGTAAAATTTTAGAATTTATTTGTAAAGCCTCTCATCTTAACATTTTAAGCATACAACTGAGTGCCATTCATTATTCTCAGTGTTCTGCAACCGATATCACATATTATCAAAGCACATTTTTTATTCTTAATCAAAATATTATTTAAAATAATCTAGAAGTTGCTTAGTTTGTATATTAGAGTCAGAAATGTAAAGAAAGCAATTTTTGTTTTTGATCATTTAATTGTAGATCATTTATATATATTGGCTTTGATTTTGTACTATAGTTTGAAAAAAGAACTTTAAAACATTTTCCATATAACTCAAAAATTTTGGCAGGGACAAAAATACATTTAAATAATGAGTTAATTGAATGTATTGAGGTAACACATCTTAAATACATATTTACAAGTACAGATAGCCTTTTTTAAAAAAGCCACATCAACAAATAAAATGATCTTTTGCACTCCTATTTCTTTAGTTTGAGTTGATGGAGTAAATTAACATATCAAATAGACACAAGCATATTGAAGCTATAGATTATGATTAAATTCTGTAAGAGTGATAATTTCGTATGACATTTTTAAAGAAAAACCCTAAAATGAAACATATGCTATATTTACACTAGTATTTAATTAATGTGAAATTAAACTAACAAGAAAATTGAAATTCTCCATTACCAATTATATATATGTATGCTAAGTTAAAACAGAAATTGAATAATTTTTTTAAAATGTCATAACAGTTGCTTTCAAATCTGTTCCTCATAATATGGTACTTATCACATATATTAAAGTACCTTGTTTAGAATAATTTGCTACAGTTTAAACTTTCAGTTTATTATCGAAGGGACAGGATCTGAAGAGTTAAGATTTTCGTATGCTTGAATTTACGTTAAGTATACAACAATCAGGCAAAATGAGATATATTCCAAATTTGTTGTTTTGGTTTGTTTTATTAAAAGCTTGTGCAAGTATATTTAGTAAATATTACAGGTAACCTAAAGATTGCCATTCCAATGATTTGCATGCGTACTTTAAAACTATCAAGCATCAAGAAAATTATGAAATAGAATCAAAAGAAAACATACTTTCCAGAATTTGTTTACTTATTTTCACAAGAATTTGTGATTATGTGGAAATCCTGAGGCAATAGTTCTACAACCAAAACAGAGAAATATGAAAATATTTAGATAATTTAGTTCTTAAAGAAGAAAGTGCTGTGTACTGATTTGTTCACTGAGTATATGTTAATGTATCCATAGTACCATAGCTTCATTCACGGAAATTTGTTCTATTCTAGGAAATCCATTTCTCTAATCCCCCTAAATCCTAAAAGGTGAACCTTACAAAAATTGGTACTGAACACCTCTGTAAAACCTGTTAATTCTATATTTACTGTGTTCAAGTTAAGTCCCCGCGCACATTATGTAGACTCTATGACCATACAATAGGTTTATAAAAAGTAATCCCTATTTCAAACTACATCAGGCTATTGCACACAGATCTGACCATATTCAGATGACTATATCACATGGTATATCATTAAATGTGAATGATTTGATTAGACCCTATGCAAAAGAAGTACAATAAAGAATAGTTTTAAGATTACTAGCAACAGTGGGAAGCCAGAATACTTTTATCCAGCTGTGCATATGTTCAGTCATGGATGTTGCTATGAATAAAAGGATTTAACTGGTTTCTAGGTATATATGTATATGGCACATAATGTAGCAACATGAGAAAATTTAACCAAGAATCAAGGCAGGGCAGACATCTGACTCATTTACTTTTGGGGCTGCCTCCATCCTGAGCATCTTGATTAAAAGCATTTATTAATAAATTGAAAACATAGCCACAAAAAAGCATTTATTAAATGACCACGTGTCATATACATGTACCTTCTGGGATTCATCACTGTGTTGTGAGAGGATCACTGGGTTAATTAGTGTTTGCTGGTTCCAAGCAACAGTAACCAACAGTTTATGAGATTTGCAAAGCCAAAAGCCCCATTTTGTAGACGGCCCGTCCCCTAACAACTGGCCTCCTGCCTTGACCCTATACTGACATGAGCAAAGGGCAATAAAGATGAATCACAAGATCTTCCTTATACTGAATGATTCTATTACTTAATCTACTTGTCCACTGCAGTGACTATATTATGGCAGGGCACTCATAAGCAATATGTTGCCACATAGCCCAGTGTCCTGA